GAGGGGCTGCCGCCTGCCCCACTCTCCCGCAAAGCTTGGCCAAACCACGCGGCTCATCACCAAGTCCCACATCTGGCCGCAGCAAAACCTGTCTCCCTTGCTCTTGACCCCTGGACGTGCACCGCAGCAAGGCACGTTGCACGGACAGTGCCGGGAAGGCGCCGTGCCAGAGGCTGCCTTGTCCTCAGGTAACCCCGAGGTCTCGGCAGGGCTGGCGGAGGACGGCGAGTTCATGTCGGCCCTTTCCACGGTTTGTGCTGGCCGCCCCCGCCTGAGCGCGGCCCCGGGGAGCCTCCGCCGGGATGGGGCCGTGGTGCGTGCAAGACCCTGGGACACAGGGCCGGGGGAGGGTAAGGGGGAGGGAAAGGCATGTTTCTTGCAAAATTTGGACGCTCCTACAAAGCTCTGGCATGCAGAAGGACGGGCTTGGAGAGCAGGGGCTCTCCGCACTCGGCACCTCCAGTTGCTCTCAGCTGGGGCTCTGCAGCCGTGGGGTGGGAGGGCAGCCCCTCCGCCTACCCGCCGCCCTGGGGGTCCTGGGCACGTGCCTGCCTGCGCCCTGCCATGCACTGTCTGCTGGACCCGGGACCTGTCGGGACAACCGGGGCGGGCGATAGCCTGCAAAACCCTCAGATTAAAACTTCTGCAGTTACCTAGGAAGAAGCATGTGCTTCCCAGCCCCGAGGGCACAGATGGAAAGACTTCAGAGCACTTTCTCAGCCCTGGTTTTGCCCGGAGGAGGCTGGTAGAGTTATCCCCCCAAGCAGCCAAGCATGTGAGAGCTCAGCCTGTGCGGAGCAGGGAGTGCCTGCTGCTGTTCCTCCACCGTGATGCTCTCCTACAAGCCTTTCTGAGCTCTGATTCTCGTCTCTTGTTTCCAGCTCCGGGATGGGATTATGCCTGAACAACGCTCCTCCCAAGCAAGACTTTATCTACCCAACGGTGGCTCCAGGACAGGCCTACGATGCAGATGAGCAGTGCCGTTTCCAGTACGGAGTTAAATCTCGCCAGTGTAAATACGGGGTAGAGAGCCTTCCTGCTTTACTATCGGTTCCCAGGGGGTGGAGGATGGGGGCTACAAGGGCAAAGGGGCCATGGGGCCGTTCCTCTGCTGCCCACATTGCTTTGCTGTCCTGCTTCAGATGAAGGGCACTGGCACGTTCCCTGTGAGCTTTTTGCCTTGCTTCCCTGTGAGAGGACAGAGGAGGTCATTTCCCATCCCTAAAGGTTGACCCCAGCTCAGTTTTGGTCAGATTATTCCCATGGGAAGAGATCTCTTGCCTCTGTCTGATACCTTGGCTGCTGCTGGACCCCAAGGGTTGCAGCTGAAAGCCAAGCTGCAGTCCCCTCATCCAGACTCCTCTCTCAGCAGGGGTTTGTACACAGACGTGTTTTTCATAATCCTTACTAGAAGTCATCATGGTGCTCGCACAAACTTAGGAGGAGAAACCTCTTTCTTCCAGGTGAGGTGGGTCGATGTACTGTTGGTCCATCTGAGGGACAGCTGCCCACCTAAGCCACTCCTGCCATCATGCTGCCGTCCCCTGATCTTTGAATCCAGGAAACCACTGAAAGGAAAGGTTGTTTCAGGAGAAAAGATCTCAGCCTGATGTTTTGCTGTTCTTAACGTACTGGACATTGCCAACTATCGGAGCATAGTGGCAAGGGGGAAGCATCTGCACTAAGGGGCTAATTGAACTCCTTAACACATCCACTTTCCTCTGGAGAAAACAGAGGAGCCAGCAATGAGATACACGGGCAGCTGTGCTGTCTGATGAACACACGTGTGTACCCACCCCAGTCTAAGCCCTGGAAAGCTGTGAAGGAGGAAACACATCAGATGAAGGTTTAGTTTCTCTTGCAACCATGTAAATCCAAGCTCAATGTTGCCATTGAAGTGACCCGATGTGAACCAGTTTATCACTCTGAGTGTTCATCTATTGAGTATGGTTAAACACTAAACCACCTCCTGGTGGTCTCACCAACACATCTTGGTGAACAAAGGGCAAAGCTTGGCTCTCCCTGGTCCAGTGCTGCCTTTCGACATGGCCCAGGGGCCAGAGCCCGCTGGTCATGGGCAGATGCAGTCTTGCGAGATGCCCAGAGCCACAGCAGAAGTCTGGGTCCGAATACCATGGTCGTGGTATCTGATGTCGGGTGCTACCAACTGTGGTCTGTGCCCCTCCTCAACTGAGCCAGAGTCAGTGAAATGGAAACTTTCCATGTTTACATGCCTGTTTCCTGGCTAATTTTTAACTTGGGCAGATGCTTCCTGTGTGTATACAAGTATCACAAAAGCACAAGACGTCCTTGTGATGACCCTTCTAGGCCAGCCTGTCTTGTGTGCTGTTTGGGAGAAACCCAAGGGGCGTAAGGGCTCAAGTGTGTGCAGATAAATCTGGGTACGTGTGTAAGTCCACCCATTTGTGCCCCATATAAACAGACTCCAGGGTGATGGCGCAAACACGGCAGGATCCCTTCCTCCATGCCAGTACAGAGGCAGATGATTAATAGGTGTCATGAGGACAGAGAGAACAGATGTCACTGGTTGAAGCTGGGAAGTCCTCTCCCTTGGTGACACAGAGAGAAGAGACTATACAGGAGCTCCTACTTCCCAATAGTCACGCTGGCTCTCCAAGAGCGGTATGGAGGGGTAGATGCCTTTTGAAGATGGGAGAGACTTTCTCCTTTCACTGGTTAAAGCCAGCTGCAGCTGGGCTTTGGCAAAGGAGTTGGGAACCAAAATCCCTTTGTGTCTCGCAGCTGCGGTCCTCGGTGCATACTCCACAGTATTTTCCTTTGCCGGCTCGCCCTGTGTCACTCTACTGTCACAACCTTGGCAACAGGAGGGAAGCAGAGAAATCCCGAGCTCGTCTTTTCATCCCTCTTGGTACCAGCACAGAGGATTCCCAGTCGTTGAGTCAGTTCATCCTGCGGGGGTATCGGTTACTGTTTAGAGCACAGCCCTTGGCGGGGCGGAGGAATGCCTTGCTGGAAGGCTAAACCAAGCCCGGAGGCGTGATGAACAGGCTGCTACCTGACTGGAGGCAGGCAGCCCATGGGAGCTGTCTTGTAGGTCACGCTGCCGTCGAGGCAGGCAGGAGACCAGGCAGTCGCTGTGCCGGCACCGGAGCATGCAGCGCAGAGCACGCCGGGTCCTTCAGCCTGTGCTGTGGCATTGGCGTGCACCGACAGCGGCACCGGCATGTGCAGCCATGGCTTTTTGGGCCCTGCTCTCACATCTCGAGACAGTTTCTTTCATTGACGATGTGAACCTGTTTAATACTTTCAAGTATAACCTAGGTCACGGCAATCTGCTCTCTGAAAAGCAGCAAGTTTTTCATAGGCTTGTTTCAGGAATAGGAGCAGGATGGTGACCTGGCAGGAAACTCAGTTCTGGATTTTAGGTGTTGCTTTGCAGTTTGCAGATGTTCAAGCCCAGCCTGCTTGATTTAGTGGCAGAGCAGGTTCAAAGGGCCTGGACTTTCTGATTTAGCAGCTGTGACAACTTTGCAGAGTCTCTGTCGTGGACCTAACTTTTGGGTGGGTTCTCGAACAGCCAAGGGAAGCTTTTTGTCAGGATGGGCTGAAGCTCAGGATCTACAGCTGAGGAAACCTCCTGGAAAGAGGTCAGAGTCCTCAGCCCAGTACCACTCAGTGGACCCAACTGCACCTAGCAGAGACAGAGCAGAAGTGCCCACTTCTGGAGCTGCTTAAGGGCTAGCTCAGTGTCTAGCATTATTTTGATTATTCTGAAAACGGCTCTAAATCTTCCAGAGGAGTCTTCCCTTTGGACTGCTGGGCTGGCTGGAGATTGCCAGTCACACAAGCTAGTCACACTGTGACCTGCGGTGCATTCCTGTAGCAGATGACGACAGATGCTCCCGGGGAGTCCCAGCTTCCCGCAGAGGCAGATCCGGATCTGCGTGGCAGATCTGGACCCACATGGTGTAGGGACGCTCATGACAGGTGCTAGGAATGGGCCCTTGTGCTCGGCCTCCACTGCACAGACCCAAAAAAGAGAACATCCCTCGGCCCTGGGGAGAGGGCTCAGGTGGAGCACAGTGGGATTAGCTCGGGACTCACCGGGATGTCCGAGGACATGTGTCCTCTGTGGCACAAAGACCAGGTTTGGCTGCGTGGGCTGGCTGGGGAGCCAGCTCTGGCACCCGAGCGCAGTGGAACCTCCAAATCCAGAGAGCCCCAACCACAGGAGAAGTGCTTAGGCTTAGTCCAGAGAAGGGGGTGAGCTGTCAGTGGCCTCGGGGTGACTGCAGCTGGCAACACCTTGTAAGATTTTATCTCATTTTCCCCCCACCATGCTGAAAACACTCCTGTCCCTGTGTCCCAGCCCAGCTGGTGTTTCTCAAGCGCACCGGCGTGCTGCTGCCCCAGCCTCGCAGCCCCTAGCACAAGCGAATCCTAATCTCGGCTTTGTTTCTTTGTCTCTTTCTTCCTCCCTCCCCCTCTCTCCCCCCAAATCTCTCTCTTTCCAGGAAGTCTGCAGTGAGTTATGGTGTCTGAGTAAAAGCAACCGCTGCATAACCAACAGCATCCCTGCTGCTGAGGGGACCATATGCCAAACCAACACCATTGAAAAGGGGGTAAGGAAGCCCGGGGCACCGTAGCGAGTTGACAGTGAGTGGCTGAATCCCTCTTCCAGCAATAATCGGGATTATTGTTTGCATTGGTGAGCACGGAGTTGATTTAAGAGCACCCAGCAGCCTGTCCTCCCCTGCCTCCCAGAGCCTGGAGCCACCCCCACCCTCCCTGCCGGCACAGAGGGAGGCTGGGATGTGCCAAGGAGCCCGGGGACCCGTAATCACCCCGCAGTACAGATCATCTTGCATATTGCTGGAAATGCAGAATATTAAGTCCCTGCTCCAGCGAGCTTCTTGCTCTCACCTAGGAGGCACAGTAAGGTGATGTCAAGCTGTGGCGTATGCTTTAGATGAACATCTTGTTCTCAGGTCCGCTGAGGTCTCCTGGCTGTCCTGAGAAAAGTCATTTTTGCCCCAGTTTCCCCAGGAGGGACAATGGGTTTGTAACAAGCGTTCAGAGGAACTTGTGAATAACTGCCTCGCAAGGATAGATATGATGAAACCTTCACTTTTCAGACTCAGCTGAGAGAGGAGGGTAGGATTTTTCATGACCACGTATTTTGAAAATGAATTTTGACTTGATTGTTCATATTGCTTCATTCCTTGCACTTCCTACACCCATTTGCGCCAATATAAAGTGAGTGTGTAGCATTGTTAAAACAGAGTGCCTTTGCAAACTGAATAATAATTGGGACAATGGAGAATCAGGGCTGGCTCATTCTCCATTAAATGAACATGTGTTTTTCCACTAGAGGAAAAATAATTCCCAAGAAATTCAGGAATAATTTCGAATCCTTAAGAAGCTGGAGAAGCTGATGTGCAGGAAAGAGGATGGCTTTGACAAATGCATTATTCTTTGCAAACAGTCGTCTTAGTTCTGCTGGAAATTAGATCGAAAAGGAGTAGACAGCTCCTGGGGCTGAACATCCCTGCTGCTGAAGATTCACCGTATGCAATGGCAATTTTTTTCTACTAGTCATCTTTTTTTACCAGCTTTTCCCACTTTTAAATATCTCTTTTTCCCCCATTTACTAGTTGTTTTTTAACCAGGGCTCTTCAAAAATCCTAAAAGAGAAGTGAAGTGACAAGCAGTCGCAGCCCTCAGGACTCGTGGGAGCTATTCCCAGTGAAGATACTGACTCAGTTAGAACCCCCGGTTACCCTCCTGTGTTTCTGTTTATCCTTTTGTATTAATTCATGCTTCAGAAGTGATTTAATATCCTTGGGTGAAAGAAGATGCACCTTTGTATTAAGTTTCTACACCTTCACCAGCTGGTGGCCCCTGCGCTTGCCGGCCGGGTGAGCCCTCAGACCTCAACGCTTGGCTGGAGCAGCTCTCTGAGGTCTACCCTGGCTTCTCCCTTTCTAGCTGGGGAGAGGAAAGGGAAGGATCAGGGCGTAGAAGCTGTTTAAGGTATGCAAGATTAAAGGAGAGAGAGGGTGAGTTTCTGTGCTCTGCCGCCCAACTGGGGAAGCAGTGCGGGGGGAAGACTGAGCCAAGCTCTGTTGGATGATGGCTGTGCCCCCATCCCAGACCTCTGATTGTTTCCTCCTCCCAAATTCTCCTTTTTTTTTTTTTTTAACTGATCCCCCATGGTTGTTATGGCTTCACCTGTCTTACCCCAAGAACCCACAGTGGGTGACTTCAGGCCCAGATCTCGTGGGAGTTTCTGCTGCTGCAGGGGTGCCCCCAGCAGCCTGGCTGCTCAGACAGTGGATTCTCTTTTTTTTTTCTGGCTTTTTCCCTGCCTGTTTTGGTTTTCTTTTCTCTTTTTTTTTTTTTTTTTTCCATTAATCAAGCACTTGTTACGCAGGTTGTAGTCAGCGCATCCCGTGAGGATGCTTTTCATTATGCATCCTCCCTCCCGGCATGCCCGCAACTCATATCTGGTCTCGCAGCCGGCACATGTCCGTGCTTGCCGCAGGAGGACGAGCCAGGGTCTGCTCCCAGCAACCAGGGCACAAGGGCAGAGCCCATCATGGATGCTCTCAGGAGCCCTGAGCACATGGAGGGGTTTGCAGGGGCTGGGCAGGCTCCTGGGTCCTTTCTGCAAAAGCAGCAGCCCCAGTACCTCCAGTCTGGAGCATCAGCCGGGACACCAGAAAGGCTGTGCCTGCAGAGCATCTCCTCTGCATGGGATCGTACCTTTGGAAAGGCGCTGGTGTGCAAGGAGGTCGCTAGCTGAGTGTCCTGGGAGGCCATGGTTCATTTTGCCCTGTGCTGCCCATGGAGAGCCTGGCTCAGGAGCCAGGAGAGGCTGTGCCAGCAGCTCCAGGGTGGGTTATCAGCCCCTGGAACGAATGCACAGCGGTTTCTTCCTTCCTGGGATTATCTCAGCTCCCGAGGCATGGTGTCCGGCACCGTGCCCGGAGAACAGCAGCGGCTCTGGCAGTGTCCTGCTCTTTGCGTCACTGTTGACTCCAGGGGCTGCAGGACGTTTTCCAGGTCTGAGGGAAATATTTCATAGTCAAGTTTGCGTGAGCATCTGTCACCAACAGGATGGAGACAGGCCGATTCTTTAGGGATCCTTGACAGAACAATGACACAGCTGGCGGTGGAGGTGTCCATGCCCCCCAGGGATCGTGGCCCTACCGCCCAGGAGCAGCAGCTCCTGTCCAAGTCCCACCTGGGACTCACTGCCATGCGCTCTTATAGGCAGTGAGGTGTGTGCTCTGATGTGTACCTGTTCACAACGTGTGTCACCCTGATTGACCCAGGTGCCCAGGACCCCTTTAAAGGAGAAGTGGGGATGTGACCCACGTGCCTGTGGCCACCTGCCCCACGGGATGGTGCACCAGGGGTTGGGAGTGGGGGCACCAGTCCCAGCATCCCTGTGAACCCCGAGTACGCAGCGTGCACAAATGGTGACACTGTGACTCGGAGGAGAGGGTGCCTGCGGAGAGGCGAATGCCCTCTGCAGTGGAGAGCTTGACTCCAAGGCCAGTGCAGCTCCAAGTTCAGATTTCACAGGATCAAGCCAGATCCCAGCTCTGAACTGGCTGCCATGTCCGATGGAGGCTGGGGAGCGCCCTGGGAGGAGGAGACTGTGCTCAGGGTGTTTGAAGCTCTGTCTTTCCCCAGTGGTGCTACAAGAGGGAGTGTGTGCCTTTTGGCACCCGACCGGAGGGCGTGGATGGTGCCTGGGGAGCCTGGTCGTCCTGGGGAGAGTGCAGCAGGACGTGCGGTGGAGGCGTATCGTCATCCGTTCGCCACTGTGACAGCCCGCGGTAGGTGTAGATGCATGCGGCCGTGTCGGCATGGCCCTGCCTTGTCCTGGCTGCACGCTGTCGCTCTTCGGGTTAGTGGGGAAGGAGCAGCCAGGTGCCTGTGCAGCTCTGCTCTTCTTCCCAGGAGGGTCTCGGCAAATCCCATGTCCTGCTTTCACAGCAGCTCGGCGCTTTTGCCTTTGCTGTTGGGTCTGCAGCCACAGACCCAAAACCACTTGGACAACTCCACAGTGCACTTGCAGCTGAGCGTGTGAAGTCTGCTGGGGGTCTGCACTTCTGCAATAGCCCCTCCGGGCATGATCCGTCCTTGCAGTGGTGCAGGGTTGGGAAAAGCCATGGTGCTCCTGCAAGGTTGGGGCAGCCGCCTGCCAGAAACGCGGCTCACTGCCCTGAGCTGGTTCTCCCGTCTCATTCCCGGTTTGGCAGGCCCACGATTGGAGGGGAGTACTGCCTGGGAGAGCGGAAGCGGTACCGGTCCTGCAACACCGACGTGAGTACCGGTGGGCTCGGGGAGGGGAGCGGTGGTGGGCTAGCAGGGCTCTGCTGGTGGGGTAGGCAGCGCTGTGTTGCAGCACGGCTGTGGGGCGTTACATGCAGCTGTGGGACCCACGGGAGGAGGTGGCAGCACTGGGTGGGGGTGAGCCATGCTGTGCCGGCAGCAATCCTGCAGTGGGGAAAGCCGAGCAGGACGATGCACGCCTGCACCGGCTGCGAGCTGGCTCAGAGGGTGGGTGGAGGTATGTACCTGCGGGGCTTCGGCATCAAGAAGGGGCCTGAAAAGATAACGAGGAACAGGGGGAGAGATCAGAGGCTTCCAGCACTGACATGACAGCCGTTGCCTCTCACACGCTGCAAGTGCAGGCCTGGTCAGGTGAAAGGAGCTCACGAAACGTGCCGTAGCACCCCGCTTCCCAGGGCTGGGGGGGTTAAACCTCAAGGGGAGCAAAGAGAAATAACTGTGCTGCAGGGAAGCTCAATGAAGCTTTGGAGCTGGGAAATGGTAGTTTTAACATCCACAGGAGGAAAATAGATGGCTCCCCATTGCTTCCCCTGGGCTTTGCACCTAGCTTTTAAAGGATTGCTTGTAAAAACAAGCGTTGCATCTGCAGACAGACCAGCTGGGGCCCAATGGCTCGTGCTATTAGTCTTCAAATAGCATTTAGCTTTGCAGGAAGGATGCTCCTGCTATACTGTAAGCATCCAATTGTCAGGGCTGGTGTCCATCTCCTAGAAGGGCTGGTGTTAGTCGCAGCTGGGAGCCCTGTAGCAGCTCCTGCCCCACCAACATGCTGATCGCTGGCTGTGTGGCCGCAGGACTGCCCGCCGGGCTCCCAGGACTTCCGAGAGCTGCAGTGTGCCGAATTCGATAACGTCCCCTTCCGAGGGAAGTACTACACCTGGAAGACGTACCGTGGAGGTGAGTGCTGGGGCTGGGCTGAGCATCCCTTGGCTCAGGCAGAACTGGAACAGGGCCATGCAGGGCTTTGCTCTCCCCTGTTCTCTGCAGGGACAGGTCTCATGGTCCAAGTGGTCTGGTGGGCAGTTAGTCACCACCTCCGCTGGCCCAGGTCCCTCAGGCTGCCCACTCTGTGTCCCTGGGGTGTGCTGCCTCTCCCTCGCGTGACTGTGGATCGACGTGCATCCCTCCAGGCGGCTGCCCACGACGGTCCTGCCGTGCCCTGAGTCACTTATCCCTGTGCAATTGCTCTTTAACTTCGTTGCTCTCCGAAACAATTCCAGCAGCATCAGAGCTGTTTAACTTCTTTCCCTGAGTCTGTTTCCTTAACTGCTGTGCGAGCAAAGAGGAAGACAGACAAGAGAAGGGAGTTGCTAGTCCCTGGTACCTGAGGGGGAGAAAACAGGGCAGCCCTCCCTGCGCAGGCAAATAAAGCTTCCAGTTCCTGCACGGGCAGAAGGGAGGTGAACTGGTGGAGCCTCCAAAGAGCAGCACTCCCCTCTTCCCAAGGTCAGTCCTCTTGTGGCCTGCAGAATTGTCTAGCGAGGAGAGGGGGCGGGAGGAGGCCTCTGTGGCAGAAATCTCTTAATAATGAGAAAGAACAGCGCGTCTCCTTCATGTAGTTAATGAACTTGACTGGGGAAATCCTTCGCAGCTGTGTAAATAAGCACACCTCCCAGCGGGGCTCCTGCAGCTGGAGCAGATGTGCTGAGGCTGCAGGGGATGGATCAATAAAAATGTAATAAAATTGCAAAGCAGTAAGTCACACAAAGACCCCAATGGGTGCCAAGGTGGAAGACAGCCCTGCAGGCTGGATCTGCCCTGGCTCGGACCTCTCTCTTCCCCAGGCATGGCCCAGTGGTTTGAGTCCAGGGGACGGTTGGCCAGTTGAACATTGGCCCTTGAATTGTAATCTGGCTCTGACACAGATTTTTGCTTTGGCTTTCAAAAAAAGCCCCTTCCTCTCTCTCCGCTTCAGCTTCCTCTTCCATAAAATAAGGCGATGAAAGCTGTCCCCTTCCCAGGAGGCTGTGAGCATTGGCACGATCGTGTCTTGAAGGGATCTGGGAGCTCCCTCTCTCAGCTCTCCAGGTTGGCTGTGGGTAATGGTATTGTTTAGCAGTTACGTTTTGTTTATTCAGTGTCAAAGGGTATCACTGTCTTCCTCTGCGGTGGCCCAGGTAGGGAAACTGAGGCACATTCACATGAGTAGAGAGGTGTTGGAAGCTGCAGCTCCTCAGCCTGTTCTGGGAGCCAAGCCCCTGGCCGAGAGATCGCCCGTCTCCCAGCTCTCGAGAAACCGTGTGTGCTGACACCCACTTGCCTGGGAGCTGTCAGCCGGGATTAGAGAATCAGCTCTTCATGGCATGGGCTGTCCACGCTGGATCCTCAGATCAGTTGGGACCGTGGAGGTGGTAAGGTGTCACCACTCTTCCCCTCCACCTACGAACTTCTTTGCCCGAGTGTGGGCACTCTGTCAAGCTTGGGGAGACCTGATTGCAGCCATTCAATACATAAAGGGGGTTTATAAGAAAGATGGAGAGAGACTTTTTACCAAGTCCTGTAGAGACAGGACAGGGGGCAACAGTCTTAAATGGAAAGAGGGTATGTTTAGATTGGACATAAGGAAGAAACAGTGTACAATGAGGGTAGTGAGACACTGGAACAGGGTGCCCAGAGAAGTTGTGGATGCCTCGTCCCTAGAAGTGTTCAAGGTCAGGCTGGACGGGGCTTTGAGCAACCTGACCTAGTGGAAGGTGTCCCTGCCCATGGCAGGGGGTTTGGAACTAGAGGGTCTTTGAAGGTCTCTTCCAACCCAAACCGCTCTGTGATTCTATGACTATGACTTCAGCAGCCCAAGTACTTGCATCTTCACTTGTCTGTGGGATTTTGTGATACTTGGTGTCGTTTGGGTGTCAGAGGTACATCTGTGGGGGAGGTGGGGAGCGTCCCTTGCACCTTCACCCTCTCCACGTCGTAGATCAGACCCCCGGGGAACCGCCCCCTCTTGTCTTCCCCTTGCCACGGGTGTTTTGCTCTCAGGACCCATGTTGTCCCCCTGCAGCCCCTGAGCTAGCAGGCATCCCCACTCCAGCATCGGGGAGGCAATGAGGGCTGGCCATCATCTCCCTTACTCGCTCCTGGGCTCTTGCAGTGGTGCCCAGAGAGCTCTGGCTCCCTCCCCACTTGGCACAAGCAGCCCCCCAGGATCCATCCTTGTTGGCAGCCTCATCCCTGGACGTTCTGCCCTCCAGCTGGTGGCATACCTGCTCTTCAGGTTGCCTTTGGGCACGTGTCCCCGCTTTGGGAGCCGTTCACCACCCTGACCCTCTGCTGAGCCTCTTCCCCTGCTCAGCTCAGCCACTGCCTTCGGCACTGCACCCTTGAGCCGCTCCCTTGCCGAAAGGTGCGGTGGTGCAGGGGTGCTTCTGCCATTTGCCCGTCAGATGCTGGCCTCACGTCAGTTTGGGGAAATGTCCTGGGCACCCCCCCCCTCCGAAGACAAGGAGTACCCCACTGGCTTGGGTGGGGGAGGGCACCGATCCCGCAGGGAATTTGGGAAGGGAAGGAGCCACCTGCTGAAAGCCTGACGCCAGCCACCGGTTCACTGACAAGTTGAGGTCAGGTTTTGTGCGGGGCCAGTACGGCGTGTTTTCCTGGCGGTGATTTATAACGGTCCTGGAGCCCAGACCCCGGGATCGCAAGACACAGCCCCAGCGAGAAGCGCTGAGCTCAGCCTTTCGGAGCTCAACAGTCAGCAGATACCTCGTGGAATGCGGCTTTAATTGTTTGTTTCTTTTGCTTTATTCGCTTAGTTATTCATTTTGCTTTTGGCGGATGCAAGAGCCAAGGGAGAGTGGAGCCGCTCACGGGGCTGGGAGAGAGATGGGGAGGAGCAGGGGCTTGCAGAAAACAGGAGATTGCTCGTCATAAATTGTAATGCGCTTTAATTCCTCTATGGAATGGGACAGGGCAGGCAGGAGGAACAAAACATCCTCTGAGGCACCGCGTAGCCAACTGAAAATATTCTATTCTATTCTATTTTAATAGCTATATTGAAGATTAAAAGGAGTACCCAGAGTTGGCTGTTGCTGACCTTGGACTACTCAGCCCAAAGCGAAGGGCGGGCAGCTCTCTGCGGGCCAGTGCATGGCTGGAGGGTTCACCTTTCGGGGGGCAGGGGCCTGGGGACCTGCACAGTGTTTATGGCAGACCCGGTGCTCTTCAGGATTGTAGTGTTTGCTGCTCATTTCCCAGTCAATTAGTAACATTCACCAGGCAGCGGGCAGGCTGAGAGGGTCCCACTCATTCTGTGGAAGCAGGCTCTTCTCCCGTGGTGGTGGACCCACCTTGCACAGGTGACAACGGGCACTGCAGAGCCTCTCCTGCCCTTCTGCTGCCAAATGCCCCATGGGGTTTGCGGTGAGGATTCCGCTCGTGCCCTGCAGATGTGGGTATCTCTGGACAGCAGAGAGCCGGCCTGGGAGGATGCGGAGCACTGCCTTGCTCTGCCAGGCCTAAGGCTCCCACCCCAAAACGCGCAGCTCCCAGCAAACCATTCAGACGCTGAGAGAGGAGGGGCTGGATCCTGGTTGCTGGTGAAAATACAGTCCTTAATTCCCATCTCCAGGAATGTGGGGACACACGGTAGTCACTGCTCCAGGGCTTTAGAAAGGTGCCTTTTTAAGGAACCACCTTAACCAGGACAAGGTGATGGCCAGACCACCTGAGTACCTCTTGGCTGAGTGCTGAGGAAAGTCCAGTTCTGACAGACACTGGGCAGTGATACCAGCCCCCCTTTCCTCTGATCGGTGGGAGGGTGACCTGGCTGCCAAGGGCAAATCCTGCCTGGAAATTGTCACCAGGGAGGGTGTGTTGGGGACTGGTCTTGAGCGCAGGTGGCCCAGCTGGCTCGCTGGAGCCACCGCAGTCAAGATGCAGATGCCAATGCAGGGTCGTCCTTCTCTCCTCCCCCTTCCTCCTTCATTCTCCCTCTCCCCATTTCTCTTCCGTAAGACTTTTTCTTTTAAGGACAGAAATCCCCCGTCTGCAAGCCTCTCCTAAGTGGCTGGATGAGGAGAGCCAGCAGGGGTTTGTCCCATGTGGAGCAGCAGCTGGGTGGCAGCGTGACCGCAGGATCCCAAGTCCCAGCTCCGTGCACAGACCCCCAAGTCCAGCACCCGCTGTCAGCTCTTGCAGGCAGGAAGGTGATGGGTGCTGAGTTTCCCTGCTCAGTGGCTGCTTCCCAGGCTCCCTCTGCGCACACGAGGTGCTTGGAGCCACTGGGATACAGGGCCTGCGTTGGCAGCGATGGGTCTTCACCAGTGACAGGCTGGAACCAGTGCAACTGTCCCAGCATGGAGGGCTTGCTCTCTTCCATGCACTTTCCTCCCTCTCTGCTGATCTCACCTCGGTTAAATTGTTAGGGATTTAAGCGTGCGTGCACACATGTGCATGTGCATGAATCCTCCTGGGCTCCAGCAAGGGGAGGGCAATGAGGAAACCCCCATGAACACCCCCGGCTCTGCGATGAGCTGAGTTCATGCACTCGCATCAGTTTTGCAGCCCTATAACAAAGTCAGGGCACTTAAGGCAAAGGAAGAAATTTGGCCTCATGCCGCCAATCCCTGATCTTTTATTGTCTCTCTTTTCTTTCTTTTTTTTTTTTTTTGCTCAGGCTTGTTATATTTTTCATTCCAGTTTTCCCCACAAGCTCCTCTTTCGAGGCTGTGACCATTACGCTGCTTGCTGCTGGAGGAGGCTGGGCACCAGCCTGGGCACGGGGCAGCAGTGGTGAGGAGTTATGATAGAAAGGAGGATCATGCAGCCGATTTGGAGCTACTAAAATGGAGCCAGGGCTGGGAGAGAAGCAGAAACAGGCTGTGGCAGGGGTTAGCTGCCCACCAGGGAACTGTAGCAAGGTGTCTGCAGTGGGTCTCGCTTTTCCTTGCAGCTGGAGACAAGGAAGGGAATAGGGAGTGCATGAGAATAGCTTAGCAAACCCATCTGAGAGCCCTGAAACAAAAGCCCAAGTTTCTGGCTGTTTCTCAGCTCTGCTTCATTGTGTGGCCTGCCTGCACTCCAGTGATGGCAGGAGAGAGTGCGGCCTTGGAGAGCTGCACACGGGCAGGGACGAAGGAGACGAAGGGTCCCACGCAGCCGATGGAGCGCACCGCTGCACTGCCAGGAGCGAGGCCACCGGCAGGAGAGATGCTCCTGAGCCAGCAAGCGCTGGCTGAATCACAGATATGTCTCAGGAAGGGCCAGCACAAGCCCCTCTCCCAGGCTGGTGAGACAGTTGCATGCGCGGGGTGTGCCGGCGGGGCTCGGTGGCACGGCCTCTCCAAGCTGGGACATCCCGCAGCAAACGTAGGTCCCTCATGACTCGTGTTTTCTTACCGTACTGGAGATGTTTTGCACCTGAGGTCTGGCTGGACAGACCTGGGGTCCAGGCATGCCGTGGTTGGATGGCTGTGAGTTTTCGGGGTCATGCCTGTGCCATCCCCGTCGGTGGCCCTGGAGCTCCCTCCCCAGGCGGGGGACAGCCCGGGCCGCTGCGGAGGGGGTTGGCTCTCCAGAAGGAGGGTTGATCTAGTGCCTTCTCTAGGGGCTTGCCCAGGCATCCTGCTCAACAACCTGCCTCCAAGCTGCTGAATTCCCCTCTCGTATCTCCTCCTATTCCTCCCTCTCCCAGCTTTACTCTTTCTTCCCTTCAGCTGCATTTGGGTGCTCCCAGGCACAGCTGGGCCACCCCTCCCCTCCATCTGCCCATTTGATGTGCTGTATCGAGTTGCAAGTTTTGCAGATTTCGGTTGCTCCCAACCTAGGTGCTTCCCAGCTCTGGCACATGGCTCACAACTGTTGCTGGTGCCTGCAGGAGTGAACTGCCACAGCTCAGGCATGCACCCCTCTGCCAGGGTCATGCAGGCTGTTGGGTCTCCTTGGGATGCTCAGTAAAGGCAGCAGATGCCGCGATCTGCACCAGCATTTGACAAAATCTGATGACAGGAGGCAGAAAACTGCTTTGCTCAGGTGTCTCCTTCCATAACTGGTCCCATGTCCTGCTCCCAGGCACTGTAAGCCAATATCCAGATATCCAGCCTCTGTTCCTTAGACGGTGTTTTGGTAAGGGGTGTTGGGAACCAGGTATTTTAGCTATAACTTGAGCATCCTTCCCCTTTGTCCTCATGCTGCTGTCGTCATCTTTGCTGTGAAGGACTCAGTATCCACCAGCCTTGAACAGAAAGAAATGGTTGCTCTGGCCTAGTAATTGGTCTAGGAGCTGAAAAACTTGGTTGCTCTGGTCTAGTAGCTGAAAAACCCTGGACAAGTCACTTAAGAGCTGCTGCCTCAGTTTCCCTGTCTGTAAAATGGGCACAAGGGTGTCGACAGCCCTTGTAAAGTGCCAGGAGACCCAGGAGTGACCAACACCAGATAAGAACAAGTCAGTTTGTTTCCTTCCCCATCACATAAAGCCCGTGTTTCCCAGGCTGTGCAGAAGGGACAGTGTCTCACCATGTGTCAGTGTCCGGTTCAAGGGTCTTGACTTGGTCCTGATCAATAAGGAGGGTGCCTGGGTCCCTCCGTGGGTCCCTCTGCTCGGCAGGGACATCCTCCTGGGCACCTGGAGCTGTGCAGTGGGCCAGGCGCAGGATGGAGATGTGGGGGTCCGAGGTTATCCAGGTCTGGCTCTCCATATCTTTCCTCTCTCTCCTTGGCGGCATCATTTCAACCTCTGCTTCTTTCCCAGGGGGTGTGAAAGCCTGTTCCCTCAACTGCCTGGCCGAGGGTTTCAACTTCTACACAGAACGAGCTGCAGCCGTGGTGGACGGGACACCGTGCCGGCAGGACTCCAACGACATCTGCGTCAATGGGGAGTGCAAGGTGCTGCCGGGGTCTGGGACAGGCTCGGGATGGAGAGGCAAGGGCAGACCCCTGGGCAGCGGAGCGCTGCCCTCCACATGCCCCCATGGACATGGGTATCCCTCTGCCCGGGCACCCGGTTCATCTGCAGGAGCACGAGCACATCCACCTCTGGGCTTGTGCCTGTCCGCTCTCCATGCACCGGGTGCCACGCTGGCCTCTGTTACCGACAGGTCTCTGCATTTACAGCCCATGTAGTCCCAGGCACTTGGTATTTCCCTTGAAATGGGATCTGGAGGGCTATAAAAGTTTAATTATAAGAAAGCACTGTGGGAGTGGTGAATGTCCCCCAGCAGTCAGGCAGACAGGCTCCTTGTGTCTGTCTCCCTTCCTGTGTCTCTGGGATCTCTTTGTCTCCATGGGGCTGAATATACTGGGGAAAAAAAGGGGGACTGCCCTAAATGTAGCCACAGCCCTGCCGGTGACCCGCTTGCTAGCCCACGTACTGTGGCAGCGGGGCAGAGCCGGCGGCTTCACGTGGGCTCGCTACTGCGATGCTGGTGCTGCAGGGACATGGCTCTCCTTGGCTTGCTGCAGCTCTACCGGCTCAACGCAGGCACCCTAACCTCCGCCTTGTCCTGCAGCCATGGGATTTCTGCCTGTGCCCCCCAGCCTTGGAAGAGCCCCCCCAGGGCTATCGAGAGGGGTGGCAGAAAGGTGGGGCTGGGCAGAGGTGATGTTAACGAGCACTGCCTGGTGTATGGTGCAATGGAAGGGAGTAAGGTGGAACCCAGGGGAGTTCCCTGCTCCCCGGGGTGCTGCAGGTCAGGTATGGGGAGGACAAAGTCCCACCAGGACAGCTAATTCCCTGCTGCTCCTTCCTCCAGCATGTGGGCTGTGACCGTGTCCTGGGCTCTGATTCAAAGGAGGACAAGTGTCGCGTGTGTGGGGGAGATGGCAGCTCCTGTGAGACCGTGGAGGGTGTCTTCAACCAGTCCCTGCCGGAGGGAGGTAGGGAGCAAGCGGCCTGGCCAGCACAGCCGGCGTCACCCACCCTCGAGTCTCTCCTCAGCTTCACCTGCTCCTGGGGATGCGCAGGACAGGCAGGGACATATCCCAGAGAAACATCCCAAAGGGTAGGACCAGGCTGCAAGCAGGGAGCAGATCACTCCTGTTCACTGACCAAGCC